TGCTACACCTATCCCTGAGCAGTTTGAGGAATTTCAAATGCATGATTGGGAAGTTAAAATGAATGAGTTGCTGCTTGTGATTACGGTTTTGTTTTTATCAGACGTATTTTAAAAGTAGTTCCCTAGTCCCAGTAAAAATTACTGTGTCTTCACACATTCTGCTGTTCAAGTTAAACCTACCACTCTAATACTTGTAAGGCAACTTTATATTAAAAAAAAAAAAAAACAAAAAAAAAAAACAAAACCAAACAAAACAAAACAACACAGATGTGTGGGTAATAGTGGTGGTGGAGAGATTAGAAGAGATATATTCATGATACAACTGGCAATTATGTCAGTGCTAAGCTTTAAAACACTAAAGAAAATATACTGTGTGGCTGAACGTATTAATCAGCCTATTAACTCAAATACTTCAGCAGGGGATATTTGTGTATATCAGTTACAATTCGTTTCAATCTCCATGGCTCATCACTTCAGGTAAACCCCGGACCACCACTGTGGGTTTGCTTGCCTTCTCTAACGGCAGCTCTGTACTCAGCAAAGCTACACTGAGGGTCATCCTCATCCCCAAACGCTGTTCTTCTCAACCTCTGTTTCTGTTGTAAGTGAATATCTGCACTGAAGACGTGTAGGCCATATCCTTTGCTGTCATACATCAGCATAACTTTCTTGACCCCAGTGGGGTACTATTGACTTGCACCAGCTGAGAAAAGCTCTGGCCCATTCCTTCTCCCCCATTCCTGGTAAGGAGCCAAAAGCTGCCTTCACCTCAACTATTCCCACTTACATCAGAGAAAGCCCTGTCATTCTCCAATTCCGTTTCCACACAATGCCATATGTTTTCCCCGTTCTGAGCACATACCTTTCTTGCTTAGGTCTGCAAATGTTCCCAGCCGAAGATGATGACTTCTTGCCACACACAGCTGAGCCCATATATTTCCACTCTTCACTGTGAGGAATCACTTGTTCATCTGAGCATTTTGCTTAGCCTACATGACCTCATTATCACATCCAACTGATTAATTGTGCTATACCAATAGTAATCTGCCAACAAGCACAGTGATGGAAAAAAGTTCTTTTTTTGTTAAAACTCGCAGCTGAGAGAGCAATGCCGTGTGAGAGAACTCGTTGTTCATAAAATGAGATAAATAGAGACAAAGAATGGAAGGAATTATGAAGGAACTAGGTGATAATTTATTTATAGAACTCTGCAGAAACACTGAAGTTAGCAAATATACCATCTGTTAAATAGTCATACTATTCCTAAGTGCATATTAGCAATCTAAATGTGTGCCAAACACCTGATCTTAGCGATCTTATTTGATACTCTTTTTGACAAGCAACATTATGCTTTATTAGATTATGTCATGTTATGTTACAAAGCTATGCTAGGTAACAGTAACAGGGAGAACAGTGGTTGTGCTTTGTTGGTGTAAATGCCTGCTTAGGGCAAAGAGAAGTGGTTTTGAGAAGCAACCAGATTTTCAGAATAACAAGAGCAAAGTAGAATATCTACGCTTATATTCATCTTCAGATTATTTTTTAGTATATTTAACAAATTTTAGATTGCAATTAATCATTGAAAATATACACAATGCCACAAGGAGGAAAAATGATATGTGAAAATCTTTTGGGCAAAAAGAAGCATTATTTCTGATGGTCCACCTCTTTCCTCTCTTTATCATCCTGGGCTACACAACAAAGATAGAAAATTTTGTAACTCATTATCGAATCCCACCTGAATGAGGTGTCATAATATTTTATAGGAGATGCTGCCTGCCTGGAGAAAGGGTCCAATAAAGATGACGACAGAAGACTGATTCCCCTAATGAATTATTTTTTACTTATTTTGCCTTTCCAGAGTTTTTTGGGGGTTTTTCTTTAGGTTTATTTTGTTTGTTTGTTTGTTTTTTAATATGCAATGATTCTTTATTACTGAGAGAGACACTGAATAAATTCATTTTGTACAATTATCTATAAAAATCAACTTCAGATAGAACAAAAAAAAAAATCATTCCTGTTTAGGAACACTAAATTTTTGGGGGTGGGGGTTTCTAAAAGATACAGTGTGATGAAGACCTCAGTCAAGCACTGGAATGGACTAACAGAAATGTCTATCTCTAAAAGCCTTTAAAAATGGGTTAAATAAGTATCTGTTAGGATGGACATATCATACATGAACCTGTCATGGGCCAGACAAATAGATTAAATGACCATTTATGTTCCGCCATATCTACTTTTTTATACATGTGATTCATTATTAAGCATAATGGGATGAAAATCTCCTTAGCATTAAGAACAGCTGAGTTGTTTAGTATAACCAGACTATAAACATGCTATGAGAGAACTCAGATTCCTACATACAGATTTTGATACTCAATTTAAGGTTGAAAAGTGTAGATTAAAAAGGCAAAGTCAACTTTTTCCCTACAGTAGTCCTGTTAATTGTAAAATAGTGGATCCCATAAAAGACCTAGTACTACTGCTTTTTCATTATTTAAGTCAGGGACACTTTTCATGAGTTTAATGCAGAAACAGACAGGTGTTACAGTATCTAAAATTAGTGTAAAAATGATATCATGACATATCATGTCATTAAACTAAGAATTGCTACTAGCAAATTACTTTCCAAAATCTATCCCAATTGCAAAGTATTACATAGTTAATTATCAACTGTCAGGAAAACTTTTTGCTACTGCTGCACTGTGCTTCCTTTTTTTTTTTTTTTCTCCTCCTTTCTTGGGCATCTCATAAAAAATGAAGATTTGTCCTCAGAAAAAAAAATGAGGCTTGATTTACTATACTGGAAAGAATTGGAAACCGCTAGTTAGACAACATATATTTTCCATACTGCCCAAGAGTTTTAGGTTTCTTTGTTTTTGTTTGTTTGGGTTTTTTTGTTTGTTTTCTTAAGTCCATTTTTATGCACAAACAGCACAATCCACATTGTGTTAGCAGCTCAAGGAAAGTGATAGAAAAGGGAAATGTGACCAATTTTGTTGCTAATGCGAGAATCCTAAAATATCTGAATGTTTTGCACCTTTCTAACCTTTTTTCTATTTAACATAATAATTAGGAAAATTCATGTTTGTTTTTTTTTTTTGTTTGTTTGTTTGTTTTTTTTCTTTCTTTCTTTTTTTTTTTCTTTCCCCTACAAAGCTGGCCCCTTCTCCTAGAGCACAAAGTCTCAGGCCAGACAAACTAAGCAAATCCCTATCTACTGTCCTGGCAGTTGTCCCAGGGACCACTTTTCCAAGCAAATATTCTGTGCTGGACTTTTCCTTCTCAGAAAGCACTTAATCCACAGGAAAGAAAAGCAAGCCGATAAATTTTCTCAGACTATATTTTCAAAATAGGTAAATAAATAAATCCACACTTTCTGAGATTGAACCAGTAAGTACCTTCTAAGTATGAATCCAAACTCTAGCCAGTCATATTACCACCATCCACTGCTTTCTTTTCCAATTAGTGTTACAGGACTGAATAAATATTTTTTCTTCTTCTTTTTTTTTGGCCTTTCTTGTCCTTTTCTGTCCCCCTGGACTACCCAAACTGCAAGGCAGAGATTTAGCCAGCAGGCAATTAAAAGAACATCAGAGTTTAAAACACTTTCCCTGTGTATTGACAGGTACCATCTATTGTGGCTATGACAGCGTAAGGAGGTGCTACAGCTGCCTAATTCAATTCAGTCACCTCTGAGTAGACAATGTCTTCATAGGAGACAAATATACAGGAGCTGAAGGGGAGGAAAAGAAAAATTAACTGTGTAAAGTTCAACTAAGGGGGAGAAAATTGATATATTGACATAAATAGCTGAGCCTGTACAGGTAGTAATCATTATTGCTTTGACCAAAGAGAACCGTTTCTCTCTCTTGAAGTCTGGATCACATAGTTGTTCAGATGATGAAAAATAGAACAATTGTCTGAAATAAGAATCTGCAGCATGGTAAATAAAAAGCTTAAGGCAAGAAGTGTACAATACTATGGTACAAAGACTTTTAAGGAGACACTGATATCATTTATTATATTAAAACATATTTTGAATGTATTTCAAGCAGTCATTTCCCAAAATACTCTGACAAAAGTAGTAAGAATTCCCATTAGCAGGAGAACTGGATTAAAAATTAAGTAACTTTTTTAGAGTACATCTATTGTGTCATGCTTTGTAATTGAATTATTCAAAGGGAATGAGACTGATAATACTTGCACATCTCACTGAAATGTAAGAAGACAGAGGAGATTAAGTGTGGTGTTATATTCAGTAAAAATGTTAAAATTAATAGCCATCAAAATCACCTACAGGAGATAAGCATGGACATGTTTATACAGGAGATTTCCCTAAACCATCACATGATTTACTACTGAAAGTATCCCCTTTCTCCCATTTAAAACCAATGCTAAAATTAATTTGAGCCAATTAAAACCAGTGCTAAAGTTCATTTGAGTCAATTAAAACATATCCACTTACCACAGACAGCTTCAGGACCAAACAAATTCATTAAGAGTACAGCATACGTCTATCATCACTTAAACACACACTCTGTGGGAGTCCTGATGATGTTTAATTATCACTTCTGTATATATAGAAAAGCACACCTGCTTTTTATTTCTATAAAAAAAAAAATGAAAAAACACAAAGTGTGTTGTTTTTTTTTTTTTTTCCTACTTACATAGATTAAGAGACTAATAAATTCCAAAAAATGATGCTAGAAGAAATAATGGAATAATACACTAGCTTTGCAATTAGGAGTTGCAAATACAAACACACAGAGTTAGGGTATAACTGCTTTATGAATCTCATGATTGCAAAAGGACTAGACACTAGGTTAGACAGATGAGCTATTTTTCCATAGAGTATGTCAATTCGCATAGTGAGATTAGATTATGCTATTGAATACATGAATACATTCTTGAGTTACATAAGCATTGCATAGCTTGGGATACAGTAAGAAGTAAATCTGACCAATAATAAATGGGTCTTGTTTTCTCCTTCTCTCAAGATCTTGAAAATTTTGAAACAAAAATCAGAAGCACCGTGTCAGTCAGAGAAGGACAAGGAGTGGTTCTGCTCTGCGGTCCTCCACCACATCACGGAGGTATGATGAATAACTCCACATTGTGTGCAGCCTGAACATCAACTGCAATAGCCAAGGAGAATTAGCCTGTGCAGATTCCTGCCTGATTAGCACTGGCATTTATTTGTGCATGAAATGTATGGATTTACAACAAATTTCGATTTCATTTCTTTAAAAAACACTGGGATTTGCACCACTTATGGGGCCCTTTTTTCTTGTTCTATGGTTACTTGAGGCACTAGAACATATTGTTGCTCTTTGGGTGTGACACAAGGAAAGAAAGCATGAAGGTCTAAAAGGTTGTCTCCTGACATAACTGGTTATTTCAGCTCCTTGGTCCCTATGGAATGGCAGAAGAGCAACCATCAGCAATTCTCTCTACATGAAAACCACTTCAGGTCAGAATGGAATGACTATTTTGCTTTTTAGTACTTGCTCCTTCAATGTTATAATTTGAATACTGAATTTTATACATTAGATTTATCATAAATATTTGTCTTCTGCTCTTGGATACCTGATTCTGTTTCCTGATAATCATAAAACTCATAGAAAAATTTAGATAAGAATGGACTGCTGAAGAGGTAATCTCCCTAATTAAAGGGGGTCTGATTAGATCAGATTGCTTGGTAAATTTCAGTGTTTCATTTAAAGAATGAAAAGAGGTTTTCTGAGGAATTGATTTGGGGGTGCCTTGCATCTATGGCCATTGTATACTACTGCTTTTTATTCATAAGGCTGTTTGAGGTCTTCCTTTCTGGCTGAGGAAAAGTCTAAGTGACATTCAATGAACCAGTAATGCGTTTATGATGTTTCACACTCTTCATTTAAGACAACTCTAAGTATGAGGTGCAATTTTAATTTTCCCCCTTTTTATAGGTGTATTGGTACCTCCAACATCAGCATTTACAAAGCAATACAAGGGCTTGAACACATATACACACTGCTGTTGTCATTTTTAACGCTTCTTTTACATACCAGAAGTGAGAATCTCGAGTGATCTTTTGAGATTCCTCCCCCCCCCCCCCCAACAGTAACTCTTGCAAGTTGAGCCACATACCTTCACAAACCTCCTTCAAGGGTGTTAGAACCCAGGTCAAAACTGCTTCAGTTCTTTTGAAGTCTGGAGTAAGAACTATGGTTTCCTAACACAAGTAGCTGAAGCTAATTGGAAATTTTACCCTGGAAAAGCAAATGCATATTAATAGAGAGGAAATATCAATAACATAGATACAAAATTGTCTTGTTCTGGATTGCAAGAATCAGCAGTTCTTAGATGACCAATGAACTGCTTTTGGCAGGAGTGACCACACATCCACAGGAGCTGTAGTTTTCTGGGTGTTAGTGCCAAAGTCCTGCTCTCAGCAATGGTTCCTCAATTCTTCTGAAAGAAACAGAGTTATAAGACAAATTCCCATGAGAAGGTAAATAGTGATCTATAAAGAGGATGCAGTATATCAGAGATGTAGAGAAACCCATCAATCAATTTAAAGCCCGCAAGTCTTGAACAGAGAGGAAATGTCAGTTCACTTAGTGTTTACAGCCATATGAAAGAAGTATATAATCAAGGAGATGAAGTGAAACCTGGTCCTTAAGGGCAGAAAAAGCTTGAAAGAGTTCCTGAAATGTATCAATGGGACAGACAGAAAGACAACACATCCATCCTTGAGTCAGTAAGCTATACATTTCCCTCTTGCTGTAGGGTAAAATTACAATTTGACAAATAGGAATGAGTAGAAGAAAACATTCAGAACAAATAAATAGTTAACAAGTGAGTTCACTCCAGATTAATTGAACTGACAAAATGGTATCCATGAACAAAGCCTTTGCCACAGTGTTTCTTCAGCTGGAAATGCGAGCTGTTGACCAATAGGCCTGAAAAATACATTATCTGAAATAGCCAGTCTCTACAGAACAGAAACTGAATTCTTTTGTCATCTATAAACTCTGCATTTATGATCCAAAATTATATGGCATGGGATGAACTACATAGTATGGACTATGATAAGTTCTATACTATCTCAACATGCTTAGGAATTTGTTTTTAATAAAAAGGATTGTATATTTAGTTGGTATGGGGATTTTTTTTTTTTATTGAAACCTTTACCTCTGACTTACAATACCTACAGGGAAAAGGATTAGTAGCCTTGCATACAGGTTCCATTACAAGTGCTCTGCACAATAATTTAAATAGGTCAGGAATTAGTTAGATATCAAGAAATTTGGAAGACGCCTGTCCTATACCATTAGCATGAGTAAGACAATACAAGCTGTATAATGTGTCCTGGAGACTAAGAAATAAAATTGCTCAGAAATGCTCACCCAGCAGCCTATAACCAATGCAGACTTTCTGCTGGTATGAGCATTTACAGGGAAAATGAGGATAACTGTTCAGGTAGAAAGCACTGACTGTGCTCTTGGAAAGAAGATACCAATGTCATTGAAAAGACACCCAAGGAAGCCAGAGCAGATGGATACAGCCCCTTAGGCTCTCCTTCCTATAGACCAGCCGCTTCTTTCCTCAGGATGAGTCGCTTCACAGACCTGGTCCTACCCAAGCATTTCATAGACAAAAGAGAAAGATGGTTCTGATGGTTACTGGCTTTGTTTTCCTTTGAACTGAATGAAGACAGAAAGCTTCTGTAAAACAGTTGTTTGAAGAAGCTATTGTTAATTTAGTTATTTTGGAATAAGATGCACTAGCCTCTTCCTGTTAACTTCAAAAGACTGTATCTGCTTCTTCTAGCAATAGAAGAGACAGAAAGGGAAGAACTTAAGAAAAGCATATTTATTAATTAAAGTTTCTTCACATATAACATCAAGAAGTAAGAATAGGTAGATAAAACGAGAGCTCAATGAATATTTCTATCTATAGTATCTAGAGAAGTGTTTCACCTCTTTTTCTACCTCTCTACAGAAACCAACAACTTGCCAAACTTATCTAGCCCTACACCATGAACAGCCTGAAGTTAAGCTTTCAGCTAGGTTCCCAGGAATACAAGCTCTGCAGATATCATTAGGCCACTCAGGTGTTTATAATATGCTGCAAGGATTGTACCACATTTGAAAATATTTAAAGCTTAAGTTTAGCCAAACTTAGGTTTCTGATATAGTTCACAACAGCTGCACTGTTTTCTTGTATACGTGTTTCTTAACTGAGATTACACTAATAACCTATTTTTACTTGTACAAGAGAAATAAGCAATTTCAGTATAATAATAGATAAAGAATATTAACCAATTAGGTATTAAAAACTATTAAAAAAGTACAGAAGAGTTACTCCAGAGGTTTTACCTTTTAAACCAACTCAGAGAACAAAAACTTTGCAAAATTGCGTTAAAGCAATACTAAAAAATGTGACACCAAAATAAAACATACTCTATATTGCCATAAGCAAACATTAGTACTTTTTAGTAAAGATCAAATACTGTGATGAAAGAAAAAAAACAGCTACCTTCTAAAACACAGTTTATACCTTAGATGAAAAAAAGCATTAAAAAACTACTACAGCTAATGAACAAAAAAACACAGCCCGCAATTAGCTTTAGAAAGAAAGAGGTAAAACTACCTCACGATACCTGATTCATCCTAAACCCTCCCATTCCTCATCCAGCCCCTCCTTGCCTATTTATGCACCAGCTGCTCTCCAGCCTCAGCTGTTGTTATTTATGAGGCTCATTAACACACCTTATAAAGTTCAGCATGTGATTTTTCTCTTCTTGTTAGTGAGGCTCTGGAGTGCAGGGGTGGGAAGGTAAGCTGTATTTCTTTCCCTGAGAAGTGTCTTTTCTCCAGCTTAAGTTCTTGAGGTCAGCTTTTTTTTTTTTCCCTCTGTAATCAACCCATGGTATTATTTTGTTGTCAAAAAATAGTGCTTTAGATAGAGCTAGGAGGTAGAGGAAAGCATGTAGGGAGGAGGAAGGATATTTGCAGAATCCTTCATTTCTGTAGCTGTGTATGAACTTGACCTGACTATGATTAAGAAGCTGTTACCTAAATGGTAACATTTGACACGAGATTGTGGGCTGGACTGTTATTCATTTATTTTCTTAGAAGTGAAGTCTGATATAAGGCCTGTTTCCTTCAAGCTGGCTCCCTGCAGAGCTTTAGGGAAGTTGCTAATCTTGTTAGGAGCAGCAGGATCACTCGTGCATTTGCATTTACTCGTGCGTACACGGGGTTTGAAGCTGGGTTGCTGAGTCTGTAAGGCTTTTCTCTCTGCTGATATTGCTATGCCAAGGATACATTAAAAAAACCAAAACACTCTTAAGGAAGTTAAGAGCCCTGTGGATCTACTTAGTGGGGGAATATTCTAGATCCTCAGCCAGCAGAAGGGTGGGGAGGGAGGTGCATATGAGAGCAGGGTATAGAAAACTGGGTACCTGGAGAGGATGGGATGAGGTGAACTGTGCTGCTTTATGTAAAAGGGTCTTTGACTTCTGCCTCCAGTTGTTTCTGCATTTTATATTACAGTCTACTTTATAAAAATGTATAATCTTAAAGACAAGGTTTGAAGTACATCTGCCTTTATAAAGTGGAGTGCCTTAGTCATGGATTTAGAGTCCCTTTCTCTCTGCTCCTGTTTCTCAATGCTCCTATGAATCTTTAATCCTTTCCTGCCAGCTCTGGCAGGCGGGGGAGAGCCTCTTCCCTGAGACCAGCCTGTAGCTGTTCTCCTGCAGAAGGAGCAGTATTGATTTGAATTTGCTTGGGCTGAGGAAAGCACTGAAATGTTCTATTCCCTAGACTAGTATATCAGGAGTGATTATCAGCTGCTCTTCTTCTTTCCCAGCTGTGCTCTGCATGGAAGTGCTCACAGCTGGCAGGCGTAGGCAGTGCTCTCCTGCCTGGCCAAGTGCAGGCCTTGCCTGGAAGGTGAGCTGGAGTTAACCTGCTTTTGGGGGCCTCTGGAATGAGAGGGGAGACTGGCACCACATAGTCACTTGCCTTGGATTTAAAAAAAAAAAAAACAAAAAAACAAAAAACAAAAAACCAAACCAACAAACAAACAAAAAACAAAAAACAAACACAACAACAACAAAAACCAAACAAACAAAACAAAAAATAGGATTGCAGCATTAATGAAATAGCTCATGCTCTGACATAAATCTAATGAAACCTCCACTGCTGTAATTATCCCTCCACTGACATGTATCCCGTTTGAAGTAAAGGCAGTTCTGTGCTCTCCAAGGCATCTCCTCACAGAGTCAATAACAGCATTGGGATCACCGTCTTTTGAGAGGAAATATAATTTTCCGATGCTCAGTGCTCAAATATGTTAATTTGGGCTGAGACCAAGAAGCTGTACATGTGAAAAGGAGTGGCACTGTGATATTTAGTATGCTATAGCTAGACAGTATTCAAAAATGTAATTACCTGAAGGTGATTAACGTTTTCAAAGCTTGTCTGAGAAAACACCTTGACATGTAGGTGTTAAATTAAAAAAATTAGGGTAGAAATTATATAAATAATATTTTATTATTAGGTTTTGTGAACTAAGCACTGAAACTTCTATAAGGCTCTGAATTTTATGGTATTATTAGTAGTAGGTTCACATATTGGAGGAATTCTCTTTGGGTATAAAGCTTAATTTTTTTGTAAACTAGGGATACAACATAGTTTCTCTTTATCTGTCTTTGGAACAAGCTCAACTTCTATTGTAAGCAATTTCCTTCAGAAGTTTATGGGGAATAATATCCCACAATCTGGGACCAAATTCTGCTTGTTTGTTCCATATCTAAAGAAACACTGAGTAAGAACTTACCTGCAACTACTCTAACTTGCTTTTTGCCACGTACACAATAGTATCCTGTTATCAGTGAACATCTCTGGAAGGGCTCCCTCCCCCAGCCCCTTCTCTCCCTTATGTCCCACTGTATAGTTTTACTTCACGCACTCATTCTTCTAAAACATCACACATGAACTATAGCGAAAAGAGCAATAGGAAAATTGATCTAATTTGTCTGGTATAAAAAAACCTCTACTCCCTTCAGGCATGTTGATTCATCTTCAACATCATATGAAAAGTGGTTACTCCAGAGGGAAAGTTACAGCCAAACAGGCCTATGCACAAAGGAAAAAATGAAATGGAGAAAAAAATGCCCACAAAAATCTTTGGTGCTGATAATGGCGAAGACTTGTGTAAAACCTTTTATGCTGAAGCCCTTTTACAGTGGTCTCTGAAATCCAGTAATTCTGAGACTGTCATGGGTATGTTGAAGTATGATTCCAAGTGCTATCTGTTTCAGAAATCCTGCTGTTAAATGGAAACCAAAAATAAACTAAAAAATAATTGTAACTTTATTTGTTCTATAAAATAGCTGGCAGCAGCAATTTTCAATTTCATTTAAGCTAGACTTCATTAGGAAGTAACTATGTCTATAATTTCCCCTCTATGCTTTTACCTTCTGTTTAGCATTACCTTCACCAGACCCTTCCCAGCTGCTGATTTACTCACACAAATGAATGTAACCCTATAAGCGGAAACATGGGACTTTTGCCTGTTGAGTGGGTCTGCTACACATCTGATTTATTCAAAGTGACCCTAAGTGGAAATGTTTAAGTAATAATACTAGCTTCTTTCATAACCCAACATTAGATTTTCTGAACTGTTACATCTGTCGGTGTTGTTGCTTAACTTTCTAAGAAAAGATATTATGTTAGGGAGCAGACTGCTGGTATTATACTTTGGAAGAGAAAAAAAGTTTGAGCTCCAAAGTTTGGTTCCTTTCTGAAATCTTGAGATTTCATTCAACTCCCATTGAAGTCAATTAAAAGTAGAGTTTCTACAGAGTTTAGCGGAGCTGAATTAGGCTCTAGGCAAGTATGGCCTGCAGATTGGTGGTGATGAACCTGCAGATAGAAGAGCAATAGTGTTTATATCCCTTATACTGGGGGGAAAAGGAATTTAAATATGAAAAGGAGGGGTCTGCACTTGTTCCCAGTTAATGGAAAAATTCATCAATAGGCCCTAAGGCAATGGTGGAGTACAGAGAGGGAGAGAGTAACAGAAACTTCAGAAGATGAAGGCAGTGGGAGCCCCCTAAGAACTGAAATCAGAACAGACAAGGACTGACTCTTTCACCGATTAATTCACCGGTTGACCTCATGAAGAATGTCTGTGTAGGATAGTTGGTTTTAATAGTTTTACAAGGATTTGTATACTCTATCCTATATAAAGAAGTTAACAGCATCTCCTACAGCAGAAATCTGTTTTTTGATTGCATGCCATAAGCATAAAGGTCCTTTGTGGACAACTTTTCAGTGTCTTGGCAGGTATGGTGGTGTCCTGTTAGAGTGAGTCGGTGCTTTCTTGAGCCCTGTAATTGCCAACACCAGAACTGGACTTTGGCAAGGGAACCTCCAAACTCCTTTTTCCTTTTATCTTATTATTAAATTACCTCCCGTTTCTCATTAGATACACTATCCTGTCATGGAATTCTGGGCATCTAACTATCAAGTTCAACAGTTCAGAGCAGTTTTGTTGCACGTAAGCCCATATGTGCCTTTGTGTAGCTCTGTGTGGAGGAAAACAAGGGTTCCAGCTGTCACGAAAAGGACATCAGGTCACCAGCCCTCCCATGTTCTTGTGAAATCTGAAAAGGTTGCAGATCCAAAGTATTTCTTCCACAGAAATGCCAAGTTTACAACACACTGTTTAACTGAACATAAAGTATTTACCCTATAAATCTTCAGCATTTTGATTATGGTCCCTAACTTGCAGGTTAGAGAAATTCACAAAAATGAGTTGAAACCACAGTTTTATCCACACCAGTCACTTTGTCTGTTTGTCCAGCCAGACCATAGTCATCAAACTTGGCACCTGAGGAACCAAGTCTGTATCTAATTGTCTCAGGAAGACATGTCAGGTCTTGGTTGTATCACTTAGATTTAGCTATAGGCTGATCCTCACTGTGGGAAAACCCACCCATCTACAGATTTTTCTTCAGTAAATAGATGCTTTAACCAGGTAACTAAAAATACACAGGCATGCCAGTGTGAAAACATGGTGCTTTTATCTTGTGCATATGTATATATACACACATGTGTTATAATACACTACTTTAGGAATTGTTGCATCTTCTATGTTTACTATACACCAGGAAAAAAAGTGTAACATTAAGCTGTAGTAAAACAGAACCTATTGCAGGATTTAGCCAAGTATAGAAAGTGTCATTGATTGCTCCCTGGAGATGCATCATTTCTAATGAGAGTCCTAAAATGTTAGAAGATGATAACATAAAATTCCACAAAACTACTGGAGTTTGCAGACTTATTACCATACTGTACCCATGTTGTAACTGAAGGGGGGGGGGAAGAAACGTAAATAATCTTTTTCAAATGGGATTGTTGATGGGGGAAATGTGTAAAAATGAAGCTGTTGGCAGAACACTGTTACCTTATGAATTATGCATTTAATTAAGGGAAGCTAAACTGGTAGATTTTGAGACTTTTGATTTACTGTGCCTTATTAAAGACAGAATTCCAGTCCTGCTCCTGCTGTTGGGCGCTGGCAGCAATGCGGAGCAGCCGCAGCGCGGGGCTGGCAGGGCAGGACACCTCGGGTGTCCCCGCGCTGTGTGACACGCACCGACCCCACTTGCTGCTGTGCTGATGGAGGTGTAACAAAAAAAAAAAAAAAAAACAACAAACAAACAAACAAACAAAAACGACAAAAAGCCCTTCCAAAAAAACGGGGTCCTTGGGTGGCAAGCCCTTCCAGAGTGGGCTAGTCAAATCAGTTTTCAGTTGCCTAGACTATAGATACACTTTATAAAGGTATGTACTGTGAAACACTCTGTGGGAAAAGATAGCAGGAAAAAGGGTTAGGATGTCAGAATAGGAGAAGAAGCACGGAGCAGATATAAGTGTGGAAAAAAGGAGAAGGGCCAAATGTTCAATAGGATCAAATATTCAATAATGTCCAAAATATTTGTGTGCAGCTCAGCTCCCCCCTTCATGAGAATTTCATGCTAAAGCTCCATGTTACCAGTTTGATTTTTCCATATTCCGGGTGAAGTAAGGAGCTGTAACACTGACCAGCAATTCACTCTCTGCATGTTCAGAGGGAAAGTGTTATAAGTAGAAATTATTTACTAAAACAGCTTTCTCATGGCATTGCAGCACTGCTATTCCTACTTAAATAGGCTAAGCAGGAAAATTAAAAGTAGCAGGGGACAAAAACTTTTGTGACCTTCTGAAGAGGCTTGAAATGCGTTTAAAACTAAAGCAATGTTTACCTTTCCTTTGCTAATTTGTGCATCCCCAGTGGTTTGCCCTGTAACTGATTTGTTCTTTCAACTGAAAATATTGCACTTAAGCACTAATGGGAAGCAGATTATACTGGAAAGGGTGCATGATGTGTATCTGGTGTTTTCTAGGCTTGTCCTATACATGGATCTTCAACAACAATACCTTATCTGTTCAAGAAGATACCCGCCGCTTTGTTTCCCAAGAAACGGGCAATCTGTACATTGCCAAAGTAGAGCCATCGGATGTGGGCAATTACACCTGCGCCGTAACGAACGCCAAAGCAGAGCAAAGCGTGCGGGGGCCACCCACTCCTCTCACCCTCCGCAGCGATGGTAAGCTACCTCGGCATGTTTGGCTGAAAACGGGCAGCACAACACAAAGTGGTTCATCGCCAGTTATTGGAAATCGATACTGCTAGACGGCCCCAATGGAGGCAGAAGGCTCCCAGTAAAAAGTTGAACAGTGGGACGTGATCCCACGGTTTCCGCTGGACTGAAATGATGTTTGAGCTGTCAGGGCAGGGACAGTGAGATAAACGTGCAAAGAAAGGAGTGTTCAATATCATCGAAAAATAGCACGAGAATGTCATGTGGTACGCTAATATTTTTCGTCTTATGGATGCTTGTGTTGAGGCCTAAAACTGGCAAAGCTTTCTAAATGTATAACCTGGGTATAGCCCAAATATCAAATCTAGAAAGCAGATTCAAAGTGAGTCATTGAGGTGAGAAACTCACCCGCACATATACAAATATCTTTCTGACAACACTTTAATTAAATGTTCACAGTGAGAAATATATGTACATGGGAAATCTTTACACAAAGTTTATTTTGTAAGTTTGCTTACCTAAATTTCAATATCCTTGTACTGTTTGCAAAGCAGTGGCGACAATCGGTAACAAAAGTCTGTAAAGAGTTATGTTTCTAGGATAAATAAAACTCAGCTGTGCATGATAGAATAATAATTCCACTGTGAGACTGCTGGGTTTTAACATCTTCAATTAGATCACCCAAAACAAAGTTTTAGTTCCACAGCTCAAAAGTTAATTTGGTACAAACTGTGAGTGTAAATACTTAAGATCTCTTTTGGTCATTTCCTTCCTTTTCATCACTCTACTTTTTTTTTTTTTTTTTTTTTCCTTAGGCTTGTTCTATCAGTCTCTTTATCATCTCCCATTCACTTTAGCCTCTGGATTGGGTCCTAAACAGACAGCCTCTAAGGCAACTGTGTAAATTGTATGCGTAATATTAGCCAGATCCCTATTAAATATAAAATAAGGATCAGTTAATTTTCAGTGTAGGATCTGCCATAAACTGTGATTTATCGGTTGTTCAGCCAGATTTTCAGATGTGATCATAACATCTAAATACATCAGCCTTTCTCAAGCCCAGAGCAAATGTTTGGATGCTTTAAAGACGTTTTAAATGTTTTACAAGTAATTTGGACAGATAATTACATAATTCTCTCTTACACCCAGAATCAACTCAGTGTCCTGAGAAGTGGCCACTCAGTGAAGTGACCGATGTTAAAGGCATTGCTTGTTAACACCTCTCAACAAGAGGGGTGAACCCTAAATTATCTCTAAAATCTTAATTCACGAGTGTAACATACTTCTACCCATAGACCTCGTATAAAGTCGTGCTCTTCGACTCTCAAATGTGTAGAACTTACAGATTTCACATAAGCTTTCAGCACTGGGTTGAATTTCACCCAGAAGGCTAAGCCTGCTCCATTGACATCACGTAGTGATTGCCATGGGTGGAACGTAAGGCTCTGACATTATTAATGCCATCCTTTCTTTTACACTGAAATTCTGTTGTACTAGACAGGTCTGGGGCTCAACTGGAGTGCTAGCTGTTTTGATGTTCAACAGGTGTGATGGGGGAGTATGAACCAAAGATTGAAGTACGATTTCCAGAAACAACATATGCAGCGAAGGGTTCATCTGTTAAACTGGAATGCTTTGCCCTTGGAAAGTAAGATTTTTGTCTTTTATTAAAATGTGGGTTCAAACACTGCTATGCGGTGAGAAACAATGGGTCTTTCTAATCTGCACAGTAGAAATTTTTTTTTGTCAGAACGTGAATTTGCAAAACTTACTTTTTTTAACCTTATTTTTGATTTTTTTTTTTTTTTTTTCTGCAAAATGTGTTCCCCAGGAAATGAGAAAACTATACCGGAACTGATGCTCACTTGGTTGCAGCTTAAAGGGGGATAAAAGGGTTTGGGAGGGGAGGGAAAATCAGAACAAAGACTATATTGCTTGCGAGTAGTTTTAACTCCGGGATGAGACCTGGCTTCAGGTTACATCATTCAGTGTTACTGCACATTCGCATCCGATCTGCATCAAAACAGGAATGGTTTTTCTGTGTGGCACTGTTAGGAGTGCAACCTGGGGAAGCAGGTTGTGTTTCAGAAGCACACAGACTGTCTGGAATGGATCTAGCAGATTCCCAGGGCTCTCCGTGCCCTCTTCTCCAAGGTGATGCTGAGGAGCCCTGGGAAGCCCTATCAGTAACCCTTCCTGTTAAAATCTACAAATCTATTATGCTTGTGGTAACCTATATTTTTCTTGGGTTGCTTACACTGTTGCATTCATTTACAGAAGTAGTAGTGCATTCAAACAGCAAGGGGTGCTCTGTTCAAAGAACAGGTAGTTAACTGAGTAACTGTAGCCAGCCTAAAAAAAACCTAGTGTTTCCAATGAGCATCTGTTTTCTCTGGAAAAGCTAAAATAACCTCAGATTGTTGACCTCTATTTAGTTTAAGTTTACATTGACAATCAGGTTTAATGCTGTAAGCTTTTAAAGTGTTTAGAGCTTTCCCAGAGGTTAAAAACCTGACTTGCAGACAGCACAAATTAATCAAATGTTCCTCTGGAACCTATGCTGGGAAGCAGAAAAATAAAGCAAATAAAAAGTTAATAAGATGGGAAATGGCCTCCCTTTCAGATGAGATTTTTATATAAACTAGTCTTAGAGCTAATTTTTATTTAAGAATGAAGAATATTTCCACAGAGCCATATTCAAAGGCATATGCATTTTTTTGGCCCAAAACAAGTACCAGACTGGAACACTGCTAAAGCTGATTTTTCTTTCCAAATACTGTCAAGCTACTTCTCTTTAAATACCTCCTTAATTGTGTGTGAGTCAGTGCAGGCTTTACATTTCAAATTGTCATTTCATATTTCCATCTGTTGCATGGAAAGAATTTAACAATGATACATTGACTGCAGAAAAGCACTTCAAAAACAGTAAATAATATGTACAAAACAGTGCCTTCTTACTGAAGGGGTAAAGATGGGTCATGTTAATGTGGCACACAGGTTTTGCCATTTTAAGGACATCTTCAGGAGAGAAAAAAATGGTGGACTGAAAGGACATAAAGATAATGAAATCCCTCAGTGAGCACAGTACCTTCTGTGCTGTGCTTAGGAAATGGAACAGCTGAGAGGGTTAATGCAGCTTTAACATAAATTTTCTTCTTTGTATATAGGACTGCAGCTGCAACCAGTCCCTTCCTACTTCCCTGGTGTTTTACTGTGTAAACACCGGTGATCCATGGGCAGAAATCCATTCTTCACAATTTCTTTATATCATACTGCTAATGTGCATCTAGTCCAGTGCACGTGTTTGAGAGGTTCTCTTTCTGAGTAAAGGCTCTTTAGTGGTGTTGCTGGAGAATTTCTCCTTTCAAGAAGTTTTTTTGATAGGTGCCTCATACAGAACGGTACTGTTTTGTCTCCTTTTTTTTCTCTCTGAACAGAGCCTTGAACCCCATTTTCACTAATATGTCAATCAGTGAAAAAGCTTTATTTCAGACAATAAAGGGAGAGAAACAGATTGCAGGTGAAATACTCTTAACTTATTAGATAAGGGCAGATTTCTAAAGGTATGCAGGTGATTAGTGGTATTGTTAAAAGCTTGAAGTTTCCTACCTCCAGCTGTTTACAATTGTAGTTAGGCACATATAAATGCAGCAGTGTGGCCATCTGCACCTTTAGATGCCTAAATTCCACTAAAACTCTAGCCCCTACTATTGTCTGTTTATGTTAAAATCAATTCAGCTCAACATTTGTTGAGCTATACCTCTGATCTGCCACAAGCACTAACGGTTATTATCTCTCTTGGATTTCAGAACTGCTTTCCCATTATCCATAATTTTCTATATTCATACTGTTAGTCCACTGTTTCAGACAATGCTGTCAGCTGCTGCTACCTCTGTGCTATGAATAACAGAAATCTTTCACATCTAAGGTAGATTATGGGCAACCTGCTGTGGTTTTGGTCTCCAAAAGTCTTAAATGAAAGTACTTTCATGGTATTTAGAGAAATAGCATCTTTTCTATATGGAACAGCAAATCATACATATTGGACCTTGCTCAAAAATCACTTCCACATTTAAAACGCAAGTACAAGGGGCCAGATTTATGGTTGAGTTTTAAGATGCCTTTTTACCTGGGGGAACTCAAAGCTGCCTAAGAAACGTTCCTTCAGCTGGGCTGTGGGACACCCAGAGATAGGCGTATCCCACATAGCTTTGTTGCAAAGCTCTCTTTTTGCATTTTACATTAAAGTATCACAACTGACTCGCACAAATGGTCTTTTAGACCAGTCATAAACTCTTGCTTGTTTTGAGGAAAATAAATATAAGGGAGCCAAAGAGTCAGTTTGGAATGATGGATCCTGAATGGACAAAACAGCTTGGGCCAGCTTTTGACTCTGGATCCGGTTTTGTAGAAGAGGGACCCTGAAGAGTAAAGAAGATTTTTGAAAAGTAAATTAGTCCTCACTGTGATGGAAATACAACTGGGCAAAAAGGAATGCAAGTAGCATGCAACTGTCTGATTGGCATGGGGATTCTGAACAGGCAAAAAAAAAATATGCACTGTATACTTCTTTTAAAGAGGGAAAACTGAAATATGAAATACTAGCTTGACTATTTCAAATACTGCATCCTGTGGCAATTTAATAGAAGAGATGAGGCTTTGTGTTCTGCACTAATATTCATTATGTTGACAGTGTTTAATACTATGCCAGTATTAAAAGTCATGTTTTGGATCAAGCTATATTAATCATGCCATACATCTAAATTATTGTTCACTATGTCTTTGAGGTGATTGCTTACCATGGAAAGTGTGATGTTCAGTTGAGTTACTGTGCTTCTTTCTCTAGATTTCCTCCAAATTAACTTTTTTTGTGGTACACAAATAAGAACAGTTTCTGGAATTAAAATAAGCAAAGTAGTTTCCATGTCAGGTACACACATTTATTAAACTGTGTTACTTTTTTCTTCATTCTCTTCTTGAAGATTGGGAAATAATCTGTTCAGGATCCCTGAAGATAGGCCATTGCCCACTGAGGTTGTAAAGAACATATGTGAATAACATAAACCAGGATTTCTTTCAACGCAGAATATTAATTTTTCATGAGAAGACCCCACATATTCCTGTAAATGTATTGAAGGAAGGGTTTTTCTAGAGGCTGTTAGTATAAGTAGATAATCACACAGCTACAAAGGGGGTTCCAAAAAGACATCTTTACTAAACTTGCATACAAATATCAGGCTTCACTTCATTAGATGGCTATTCTAGTATATGCTCAAGGGGTATATGTAGGAGTCTATAAAAGGATCAACTATGGGATTCTAAAATCACATATACATGAATGGCTTCTGCCACCACAAGTGAAGTTTGCTGTTTTCAGCCCATGTTCCTGATAGAGCTAATACTTTAAGATTTGTACTCCAAGGGATAAGGGAGAAGCAGCTCTGGGAGATCCTCTCATACATTAGTTAAGGTGAGTGGACTGTGACCTCAGGACAATGAGCCACAAAACCAGGTTTTGGAAAACTGCTTTTTTTGCTGTTTCTGAAATGATACATCAGGATGATTAGAAGCTAGAGTGCTTTAATTATAATGCCCCTTGGATCCTAATTCTTCCTTGTGTCAGCAGTTGATTCAGACATTGACAGCAGCTTTCAAACCTCAGCTTTGTGTCACTTGTTTAACTAGGCATGGTCTTCATTACCAAAGCTGTAGGTTTAATTTTATTGTAAAGTGCCCTCAGATGCATAGGACGGAAGATGAGGCACCATTGCAATGCATCATCTGGCTGCTGAGCCTTTGCTGCAGAAAGGTGGAACCTTCATCTTGGTGTGGGCTGTAATGCTGCAGACAAATTAATTTCATGTTCAGTGTGACAAGACTTGTCACCAACCAAAAAATATTTTCCATCGCCTTTTCTTTCTGAGTTAGTAACTTATGGTTTTGTGATTCTGCTGCCTGCATAGTAGAATATAAATTAAATTAGTACTCCTAGATGCTCTGAAGGTTTCAAATAAGCTGCAGATTTATGTACAAAGACACACTCATATTTATGCACTGTTTTCTTATTTACTCTGGTGAAAGCAAGACTTTGTCTATGAAGTGTAATAAATTTGAAAAGTGTACTCATTGTTTCTTTATAGTTCCAAACTTTTTAGCTCCAAACAGTTATCTATTTTAATCTGGTTATTGGTAGTGACTAAATGAAAAAGAACACCCCTCAGTTGCAGGACAACCTCGAATCTTCATGGGAAGGTACAAGTCTGTGTAACAATGTCAGATACTGGCATTCGATAGAATATAATTATGCAACATAATCCTATGAAAATTTATAATCCTATGAAAATTTATAAGGTTATATTTATTAAATTGGGTTTTGTATACATTTACATATAGGACAGTTTCACTTAAAGCATCAACTTTATAAAATAATTTTTTACAAAAAGTGATTTTTTAAAATTTAAATTCAGCATTTTTTTTAACCTTGAAACATTTCATATGGCTTGTAGTAATAGTTGCTGCTAAAAGACTTGGTTACAAAAAATGTAAACTAACATCAGAAGAAGGTGAAACTGGCAAAAAAAAAAACCCTGCCTTCTGCAAAATACAGTGACTGAAGATGTTGGAAAACCTATGTTAATGAAGTTTCAATGAAATCAAGGAAAAAATGCGGATCTTCTCAAGGTGCTGTGATAATGAAGATTCTTCCTATGGATGATGGCACATGGCTGAGCTAGGGATCCTCCCACAGTCTGATCATTTAACCTATAGCTTGGGCTGATGAGGAGCTGCTCTTCTGACAGATGAATCCCCTCTGCTGACAAAACTAGGCCACTTGGTGCAAGACTCCCCGGCAGGAGAACAAAGGGCTGTTAGCTATTTATTGCAATTATGCGTTTACACACAGCGAAGTTGATGAACCGAACTCTGAGGTTTTTCTGTCATACTGCTACAGTTAACATCACAGGGAGTGCATCTCACGTGCCCTTGTGTTTGGCCAAAATTGAGGCGAGTTTGCCTTGAAACATCCCCAAGGATGTCATTATAAGTATGTGGCATGGATAAGGAAAACAGGACAGCGTCTTCAACTCAAACCTTGGTAAACTTGACTTGACAAGTTGACAGAAGGGGCCTTTTTCCACAGAGCCCTGCCTCTGGCCTTGGTGTCAGTGCAGGCTTTCCTTATTCATGACTAGTCAGCGCTAAGAGAAAACAGGTAGCAGAGAATGAATGCATGCATCTAATTGTTGTTTTTCTGCTCCCATATGGCTGTTAGTTTCCTTTAATCTCTTTGTTAAAAAAACAAACAAAAAAATAAAAACCAGAAGAGATGCCTTTAAAGTAAGTAGTTAAATGCTTCTGGCGTTCAGTGCACTGCATGCTTCTGTTATACAGTAGCTATTCACCCACTGTTTAATATGCAATAGCATTTTAAAAGTCAGCCACGCTCTCCTTCGTGTTGTCAACAGTCTGTATCAATCTACTGCAAGACTGCAAAATACCTCTGGCTGTTTTCCTGACTAGAGTAGGGCAATTGTGGGACAGACCTATTCTGACCTAGAGCTGAATTTTGTTTTTTTTAAATAACTAAAAGTAACTTGGTTTACATAAATTCTGCATGAGTAATGTCATGCAAGATTTGTGGAGGAGAAAGTACCTTTTAACAGAGAAAAACAGACAAGTGCTTTCAAAGTTCCTCGTAAGGAATACTATTAAGCAAGTTTGAATATGAAATAGGTTTCGGTCTCAATGAAGGACAATTCATAAAGGTGGTGATGACAACTACTGTTGTCCAAAAAGATTTGTAGCTTAAACAACTACATATGTCTTGAACCTAAATGGGAAATAGAAGAATAAAATCTCAGTGGTTCATTCCAGCTCTTTCACTGGTTAATGATGTCTGGCATGTCCCAGTTTCTCTCATTTGTAGCAAATTATTCAGCTGTATCAGAAGGGTCATGTAAGAGTCAGAAGCTGTGTGTGCACATATATATGAATTATCCAGATATATACATACCAGTGCAGAGCTAACACTAAAATGTGGAGAAAATTGCTTATAGTTCCAAACCATTTTCACGGGCAGTTCAGTTATGGTGGAAAGTGTAAGGTAGCTAGAGAAATTATTATGCTGCTGAAATAGCAATTGAAGATCCCTCAGTTAAATTTGTGGTCTTGAGAATGTGATTTTCTATTTTATGGAGCAGGGGAAAGGGCAGCTTGGAGGCTCTCTTGACCAGCTGAACTGCCACCTGCACGAGGAAAACATTTACAGACTTCCAGTGCACCTAGCCTATCTTTCAAGCTTAAATGCAGAACTAAGCAAATTTATGGGATTGTTATTCACTGTATGTTAGAGCGATCTAGCTGTAAATTCTCCTGCATATAGTTTATTTCTGTTGATTTTATGTTTGTAGTTACCCAGTTAACACCTGCCTAGCTGTTCAATCTGTGTAATTTGCTGAGTACTTGTACTTTTCCTGGGTCCTGGTTCTTCTGGCTTTGGGTGAACCAGTGAACATCACAGCCCCACAGACTTAAAATGCAGAAATTAGGCCTAAATTTACCTGTGTTAAGTAATTCATCCATTCTGCATTTGTGACTTGATTTCTCTGGTCAATAAACAAGAATTTGAACCAGGGACCTAAATAATTGAAGGCGTGAGCAGATATAGCCTAAATACTTTGTAAGTCAGCACTGCAGGCCAGAGTCCTTGGGGACTGGCAGGCAAGGGCAATGTGCACTTCTAATTTCTGTGAAAGTTATGTTTTCAAGTTCAGTACTGAGTGTTTGCTGCTGATGCTACTTCCAATGGAAAAGAAGTCAGCATTTAGCAAAGCCTCTGTAAAAAGCTGTTCAAAACATAACTGCATGTTTGCTTAGAAATTGCAGCTTACTTTCGTTTGCAGAAACAGAAAGCAACTGTGAAATCCAAGACTATTAATGTTTGAAAGTGTTTTGGTGACATGATAGATCATGAAAGTGAGGATTGCATGGTTTGCGATATTACCAGAAAACCAAGAAGTATTTATTAGCTGCCTTCACACTTGACTATTTTTCTATTGTATAGAATACATTGATCCAAATATAAATGAAAATGATAGAAAGCTATGAAAGCATGAAACAAGAAATATTCTCTTTTGTCTCTATCTCCTTTCAGCCTCAATGTCTCATGTTTTCCACTTCCTCTCTCAACTGTCTGTCTGCCCTCCTTTAACCTGGCCCCCATTTCTTATACCTAGATTTATTGGTATTTTTAGGTCCTTTGAATTCTTGTCCAATATTTCCTGTTTTGAGGTGTGAAAATACCTCTAATGCTACAGGGAATTTGTTTGCTCTGGAAACCAGTCAATAATTCAGTGTTTCTATGGTGTCTATCAGGACTTCCAAGACATTATTTCAACGTCATGGTGTTTAAAAACAGGTTTGAGCCCTAAGACTTACTGTGAAGGAAGATCCAAATTGTCCTAAGAAGCAATCATAGAATTAACTGAGGACTTCGTCCCACTGTTGGACTTGTGCCCCTAAATGAGTTGGGCAGGTTATAGAATCTCAGTCTTATGAATCTCTCTCTGTTATGCTTAGAAACAAAAATTTCATTTTTAAAAAATATTATTACTCTTATGAAAGGATTTCACATTATCTTTTCTCTGCTATAGCAAATGCTGTCTTTTTTTCTCTAATAATTTATATATAATTTAGTCCTGTCCCTAGTATTAGCTGGAAGAGGTCTGATGGAAATTCATTGACAAAGAAAATAGAACACAATAAAACCAAAGGAGTTCTTGAGATTCCAGATGTTCAACAAGAAGATGAGGGCTCTTATGAGTGCATTGCAGGGAACATTCGAGGAAGAAACATTGCAAGAGGTCAATTATTTGTCTATGGTAAGCAGACTGATTAATTTCGTTTTTTTTTTTTTGCAGAGCATGATGGTGTTCAGATGTATTTTGCAGATGGCGTCTATTAACCCCTTTACCGGACATACAAAATGTAGTTCAGGTTAAGCTGAATAAAAAATGATTGGAGGTGTGCAGTGACCTTCAATGAATTACATCCTCAGCAAACAAATGTATTTTGCATTAAAACTCAGATTGAAAATGTGGGCTGTGCCATGATGAAGTTGTAAAGGTTAATACGAGGCAGAGAGAAATCCCTGGTACATATACATGAAACATTAAGGGCAGGCAAAAAGATTTACTCTCAATAGCTCACCGCAGCATAAAGCTTTGCTGCCCCAGATGCAGATCAGGGAAGGATTCATGAGGTTTCGGTTCATGCAAATGTAAGATTATTTCACCTCCTATTCTAGCTGAACTGTATTGCTCCATAAACAGACGAGGACAAAGCAGGGGAAACTCATTCCACTGCCGCCTCCTCGTCTAAAAGTAGAGAATAATATTTCTGTGTAACTGTTCTCCCTTTCTTTTTCCCTTCCCGCATGCATTAATTTCCTGTGATCCAAGTCGCACGTGATGGTCCCTCATAGCCAGGGTGAATTATATGCTCTTTAGTTCCATTGTTAATATTCAGGGTAAGCAACATATTTTGACATGAATAAGAAGAGAGATCTTTTCTTTACCTCGTAACTCTTTTAAAAGAGAAGGAGAAAAAAAAAAAAAAAAGGCAACAATGAGAAAAAAAATGCAGAAAACTAGACTGAACCTACAATTAACATGAATTGAGAAGACTTTGGCAAGTATTTTTTTTTTAAGTAAACCTCTTATAAGGAAGAGATGCAGTGTTTTGCTGATAAGCTACCAGTTTCCTGCAGCCATGGCTAAAATCAAGATATATGCCAGAAATAGAGCAGTCTGATGCTGTTTCCAATATTTAATTATTTCTTTGCTTTTAGGGGGTTATTTTTGTTCTCATTGCTCACTAATTCTTGCGGAACATCAATCAAGCAGTTCCATTAAAATTAAGTTCAGTAGATTACCTGGATATGATTGATAACAGCATAGGCAATTACAAAATTATGATCAGTTAATACAATCTAAAACAATGTGCTTATTAAATGTGCTTTGTAAATTAATTAATAGCTGTTCATAGTGAAATATAAAAACAGCACTCATGAAGCTTTTGCATGAGATTTTTTTATCATATTAGGAGTGGGCTGGTATATTATCTATGTAATTGACTTCCTTTTGCATAATTTCTGTGCCGTGGTGGTTTAACTCTGTAGGCAGCTTGTCTCTAGGAAATAGAGTTTCTTTCCTGGACACTGTCTACTGCTTTGTGTAGTATCTAGATCCCATGCCTTAGGCTCTGAGAGCAATAAAAATAACATTAAATTAAAGTCACTTTTAAGCATAGTGAGTTGTATCCCGGATGCTTGCCCATTCTGGGGAGGTGCTCATTGGCTTTGTATTAATCAAGTGTTGGACAACCTCAAGGTACTTTGCTGGGGCAGAGCCATGAGCTGCCCGCAGGGTCATGATGTAGAAGGGGAGGCCTGTTCTTCTTAAAGGATAACAATTTTCTTCCTAAAATTAAATTTCTTTATGCAACTACTACATGGATGTGTGTGTATACATATTTATATACATATGGAGACTACAGCATTATGATTTAATAACCCAGCCAAAAACTTTTCACGGTATGTTAAGATACCAGCCACTTATGCTAGAGGCAGAGGGATGCAACCTACTATCTCACTTGCATGTGGCTTTGGTCTATCCCAAATTTAGGTGGGCGCTAGTTGTTCTCCCAAGGTCTTATTTTCATCTATAACTTCACAACTATTCTAAATGTCAGCCTGCCTCAAGCTAATTCCTGCTCAGCTCGGTCCTTGAGTGCTTAGTTGGATGTTTATAGAGCTTGTAGGTGATTCCTGCAAATTCTGCTTTTACGCAGGAATGAATGTATGTCAGTGTGCCACAAGTATTCAGAAGGTGTTACTCTAATCTGAGTAGCCCTAATTCCTCTGTGTAGTTTTTGTGTTGTAAATTGCAAAGGACCCGTGGCCTCAGGTATGTGGGTAAAACAGAGGGGTAATACTTACAACCCATGCGTTTTATTAGCTACTGACTAGTGATTTTGATATTTCTATTTTTGGTACACAGATCCAAGTACTTTGTGAGGAGGACTGCTTTTCAGAAAGTAGGATTCTCTGCTTTCAGAGAACATGTACAAAATTTCAGGTGCCTAAAATCACTGCTTCTGATTAATAATATCTAAATTGAACTTCTTTCCTACTAGTCACTTGATCTCTAACATTTTCCCAAGTTAGTTCTGAAGTCTAATGCCAGGGAATTGTGCAGAATTCACTTGCGATGTAATAAGAATGTGTTGGACCAATAGCAATTAGCCTCGCTCAGTTCGTTAATTAATGAATGGAAGCATACCTCCAGAAAAATCACATTTCTCCTGCTTAAAATGGTTTGCATATTCTTTTCAGCACTCCCTGAATGGGATAAAAAAATCCAAAATGCCTTTCTGTCTCTCTATGACAGTTTATTTTGGGAATGTAAGGCAAAAGGAAAACCAAGCCCTTCCTACAGTTGGTTAAAAAATGGCCAGCCGCTCACGTCAGAGGTAAGGTTCTCATCATCTTGTTTGCTTTCTTGATCATCTTTCTGGTTCTTTTATGATTTAGTCATGATATTCATTTTAAAGTGCATTACATTTTTTTTCAGAAACTTCATTAAAGGTTAACACATAAAAATAAATACCATGGCACAAACTCTTTGTAACACAAAGCCTCAGTTCTCAGAGTTCATCTTAATTGAACATGTATGGTATTGCCAGTTTATATAGTCATACACCAATTTCTTCATATGGTTTATCTTACAGAGTATCTAATTGCTACAAGATGTGGCAGTAGGCATGGATGGGTTTAAAAATACTAATGATAGGTAGTGAAAGAAAGGTTTATCCAGAAACACTAAATACATTTGTAGACTTAATCAGTAATTTGGGAAAACTGGTAAGATGCCAATTTACTGTTTGTGGAAGAGTGTTTCAGAGCTGGCATTGCAAAATGATCAGCCTGTTAACTTGCACTTTTCTGTTTCTGTTCTTAATCTGTAGGCTGGATGGACCTTTGGTCTCATGCAGTATGGCCGTTCTTACGTTATGTTAATCCTTTCACTGAATTAATCAGTCAGCTATAAAAATCAGTTAATATTTAGGATAATAATTTTCTGGCATTATGTAGAGGAACAATAGACTAAAGAAAACCATGTAAAGTTATAACGCAAAGGTGAATAAGTGAAAAATCCCACTTAAAGGGAAAAGAACAACCTAAGTGGAAAGGGAAGTAGTGAAGTGGTAGGAGTGCGGAAGGAGAGGGGAAATCAATTGGAACTCAAACACTTAAGAAAGCTGATCAGATACTTAGGGAGGCAGGTCTTTGAGAACCCAGCTTTATCTCTTTCCAGGCAATATAATTATATTTCTGTGGTGGCCAAGCTTTGGCACATCTGTCTTCCAATCTTCCAACAATGGCGACCTCATGGAGAAAGACTTCTGTAGCAAGAGACTCTTTGCTGCATTTGCATTCTGCTGAGGCCAAGTTTTCCTTTTTTATTAAGCATTTATTCAGCATCTATCGGGCATAAAATGGCACGGCTCATCTGTAATGCATTTTTACTTGGCTGGAAAAAAAATAATACAGTGATTAATTTCTGTCTAGCTTGAACAGATACAGAATAATTTCCAAAACATATGGGCCAAATTATCACCTGCTGGGTTGCAGACCCAGCACTTGTTTGACTCAGTAGTACTTACCTGAAGCAATTGGAGGGGGGGTCCAATCATCCATATGATTTTCTGCTGGATTAGTCCTAAACAGAACCCAACTAGCATCTGAGAAGGCTAGCCAGGATTTACTTGGATTGCAGTTTTTCTGAACTTGATCATTCTACTCACTGTCACCTCTTCCTAAGCAAGATTGTCTAGTTTCTCTCTCTTTGAAGGCAGGGATATTTAGATTCTGTCACTCTTCAATTGCATCGTTTCAATAAAAGAGAATAAACCACTCTACAGACACATTTTCAACCAACATTTTCACAGTACTTACAGTGTATTGTAGATGGAATACTTCAGGCAACAAAATGCTGAATGTTATTGCTCAATGGACAAAATGGATAGTTTGGAGGTGAAAGTACAAGGGAGGTGTAATAAAATATTCAGTCTGTCACAGCACCCTGCTTGTTGGAAATATCACAGGATGAATACCTTCCAGACGCTTTCCACCTTGGGGCTGATTCCGAGGATATTGTCTACTCTTTGTCAAACCTTCCTCCCTGACCACCTAGTTGGTCATCCCTGCATTATTCCTGCTTGTGTACATGGTGTGCTTTATTCTCCTCTTTGTCTGCATAGCTCAAAAGAGCCTGCAGAGAATGATGGGGAATTCAGCATGTGTATGAAACACAAGTGTTGCTTCAGAAGGGGGTTTTACATTCAAAGGGTGTTTGTAAAAATAGAATGCATTGAGAGGATAGCAAACAGCCTGAAGGTAAAACTAACTATGCAAAAGATATCTGTAGCGAGAGCCTCAAAAAAAATTAACAGTGGATGAGTAATGTAATGTTGCTAAATAGTTTGCAATACACCAGTTATACAGCTGCAGGCTCTGCTTGCGTCAAATTTCCAAGCTAAACACGGCTGGTCTGGGTCAGTTCTTGGTTGGGAGACCTCCAAGGAAAAGCCAGAGTATTGGAAAATAGAGCTCCATGGCTCAGTAAGTGGCACTCCCCACCTCTGCAAGCACCACAGGAGAAATTCCCCCAACAGGCTGTGCAACTGGCTTATCTGTGGCAACTCAACAAGTTAGGTTATATACATTTAGCAGTTCACAAATAATATATTTTAGGTGCCTTTGTCTGTTGGGCAAAGATTGTACTGTATACTCTAATATTGTATGCTCCCATTACTGCTTCAGAGGCAGGAGAGTCAGACTAAAAGAGCAGCATAATAATAATAATACTAAAAATAGTAGCTGTTGTTTCAGTCTTACATTTGGTGATAGAGTTTATATTCCCTGTTGTGGTTTTCTTCCAAACGGATCTGTTTGGGGGAACCTATTCTCTTCTCCTTCTCAGTGTTACACTTTGCAGTGGAGTTACAATTTTCTCCAGAGGCTAGTAATTGTAAAATCACAAAATATTTAGCTTTAGGTTATGCTTGTAGCATGAAACAGGCTTTTTTCTATTTGCCAAAATAGAGCAAATAAAACTCCTTTTAATCCACTAAAACCCAAGCTCTGGTCCAAATTTACCTACTGTGCAGTTTCCTCTATTTCAGCAGAATTGCATCGAGGAAGCTTAGTGTGTACAGGAATTCGAGCCATGAGGAGCATGCTCTCCCTGTGATCTGAACAGCTGCCTGTGGGTTTCCAATAGGAATTTTAAAGCGTTGGCTTTCAGTAGAGCTTTTTCGGTGGATCATTTTTCTGTGACTTGTGATCTGATGACAGTTTTCCATCATTTGAAATGTTTCCATTCTTTGAGCAACTCTGTCTCCCGCAGAGCTTTTCTGATCGTCTTGGATGATCCTCGTCAGATTGCTCCTAACGAGGTGAGGGGGGTAGGCCGTGTGTCAGGGCTGCAGGTGCTGCTTCCTGGGAGCCGTGTGGAAGATGCTCCAGGCTCCCGGCGCCGAGCAGCCGTACCTGCCCCGAGGTAGCTAATTCTGCATCTGCTTCACGGTGGAACACACCCACAGCTCAGCAATGCGGAGAAACGCACACCACAGCTGGAACATCTGGGCACGCCTGCCCAAGGCAAGGACTCTGCAACATGTGCCTGGAGTTCTTGCAAATTTTGGGGAGCTAAGAGGTCTGAAAACATAACCACTATGGTATAGCCAAGGTATACATCGTATTGATGGTGTATTCATACACGTTGCTTCCAAGAAAATAACACTTCTGCTTCTGAATTGTGATCAGGTGCATCAGTGTGATACCAAAAACTTTGGGATTGTACACTCATTGGCTCTGTCACTGTATTTTTCTTGTTTTTCTTTTATCAGGAAAGAATTCAAATAGAAAATGGAACTCTTATCATACCTATGCTGAATATGTCAGACTCTGGCCTCTATCAGTGTGTGGCAGAAAACAAGTACGATACTATTTATGCCAATGCTGAGTTGCGGGTGATAGGTGAGTAAATGTCACTAAAATGAGCAGGTGCTGAGTATAACAGGGCACTCACTGAAACAATTTGAAATTAAGAAATCAGTAGATAAAATTCCACCTGGCAGTTGAAATCTGTTGATATTTTTTTGCTGCTTTCTCTTCACCCACATGCGAATGGGTATATTATTTTATTTCATAACTGGTTTGGGGGAAGAATCTGATCTCATGTGTGGTCTTTTTTTATCGCATACACACAAGTTTAATGAATGCTGTTTCTCACTTAGTATTTTGAGTTATTAATAGTTATTCTGCAGTTTTTAAAAGTCATTTCAGCAAGCAGAAAAAATAGTTTTAACTATAAACAAAGAGCATATGGCAAATAAGTATATAAAAACAAATAACATGTAGCAAATAGTCTCATTTTATGTGCATCTCTGATAATCACTAATGGAATTTGTTCTTCTATTATAAAAAGTATTCTGTTACAAATATCCAAATATAAAGTTTGTTCAACAGCCAAATACTAGTGAAACCAGTAAAACGCGGACTTTAAGAGCACCTAAGTGTTGTACAGGTCTTGTGTTTTCTCCTTTTCCAAGAGTAAATTTTCACATTAATTACTGGAAAAATAAACACATTTTCAGAAAGCAGTGTCGGTTTACAAAGAGAAAGCCATTGAAAAACTGTTTTTGTTATTGAATGCTCTCTGCAGACAGATATATGTGGCTGGGATCAGGAATATGATGCTTATCCTGCTGACATAGATCTGGTCAAGAACCTCCTTCTTCATCACAGATAGACCTGTTCTCCCAGTCTGCAGATAACCTCATGGAAAGGTTGTCAGAGCAGACAGTTTAGAAACAGCATAAATAAAGATAAATAATAAATCAGGTATCATGAATTCCATTATTTGGTACTTAAATACATTTTTTGTGTTAGGTACATATGTCCTTTTGCAGAAGGCTCAAAAGCAAAGCCATTACTGGGCTCAGCTACTGTGTAACTTGAAGAGAAGAATTTAACAAGTTCATTTAGTCACTTGCCAGCTTCATATTGTTCTCCTCTTCTTACTTCTCTATTTTTAGCTGCAGCACCCGATTTTTCCAAAAACCCTGTGAAAAAAATGTCGGTCGTTCAAGTTGGAGGTGAAGTTACAATTGGTTGTAAACCGAATGCTTCTCCCAGAGCAGTTATTAACTGGAGAAAGGGCTCAGAAGTTCTGCGCCAGAACAAAAGGTACCGTCATAAACCAGTTGCTGGATTTTGTTGGGTGTTCTCTGTTTTAATAATATCATTTAAACATGACTGAAACACAGCTGGCTTAGTATTGCTTCTGACAGAAAGCTTTGATGCCAGAGGCCTACTTGTCTTTAGCAGTGGCCATGCAGTTCTGCAGATACAAAGCCGGTTGAGAACAAAGCCAAGCCGAATACACTCGGGTGATTGTAGGGTACATACGTTTGTGTTCACCAGCAGTTAATTCGCTGCGACGCTTTCAGAGCTGGCTGTTACCACACGCAAAGGCTGAGTGAATGAGCTTCATGTAGGGGAGACATCAGTGGAGGCTTCAGGGAAGCGGAATATACCCCCAGGCTGCGGCATAATTGCTTCACAGCTGCACAGGTTGTACAATAACCCAGAGCTAAATCAGCCTCCATATTCTCCGTCTTTTCTGCTTAGGCAGGATTTAGCCACTGCCCCAGCACACCGGCACGCTCCCTCACCGCTGGTGTGGGGTCGTGTGGTCTTCGGCAGGGCCTCACTGATGTTTTGCCTCTGATGGTTAAAATCTTATTTCTGAATTGCCACAAACCGTCTACGTTATTACATGCTGATGTCAGTTAAATGATAACTCATTAAAATCAAAAGGGACTTACTGACTTGAGTAAGTTGTGAATAGTATACGCAATATACAACTGTGATGATATTTCCATATACAAATGTAGACAGATGGATGAAACAGGCAACGGTGTCTGAGAACTGTAATCTTTCTCAGCATCTCTTTCAGTTCACAAATATAACATCAAAACTGTTTTAGCACATTATCATTTTCAAAGATGGAAAACAGAATCAGTAATTTGTAAAGTGCTGGAAATTGAACACCAGATTTTGCACACAGGACCAGTTGTTCGAGGAGGTTAGTTTGGGTCACATAAGAATTAAAATAATTATAATTCAATAAAACAACATTATCCAAGACTCTGACGTAAAGAAATATTTCCCTATCCCATACTGCAGTAATGTACAATACGGATAAAAGTAAATAGGTCAAGTATATGTGAAAGAAAGTGTAAATTTGAGAAGTATTTCACATAGGTACTAGTAATGAAATAGAAAAATTTGGGTAAATAATCCATGCCATAGGGCATAGAGAACTTTCCAATGTTCCTTCGCCCCACCACCCCCCCATCATTTTCAGCTATGGCAGGTTTATTTTCTGTTTTACTGCTCAGCTAATGATGAAAAATATTTTTCTAACTAGTGTTCAGCCAAATCTTTATTTGCATTTTGATTGTACAATCTATTCAGCAAAAATGCCTGTTCAGTCCTGTTAGACGCAGCCTATCTCTACAGTATGTAGAAAACATGCTCAGTGTTCGGTTTGCCACAGGTGATCTCTGGATTTTCTGACATGCATGAGAACAGGAACAAGTAGAGCACTGCTTAAAACTTACAATTTAAATAGTTAAGCCTAGATCTTGAGGTTCTAGTACCCTGATATTCCCCATCTGATTTGCTTATAAAAAATATTTACATGCTGCATACAGTATTTACTTGTGCTTCTGTATGAATTTACTAACAATAATTATAAGCACGCTGTAATTTTTGAGCATCCCAGGCGGCCTTCTGCTGCTTAGCAGGAGTAAACAAAAGGAGCAGGATTTACACTGAGGCAAAGGGAGTGTTTAAACTCTCCATGTGCAAAACTTTATTACCAGTGTGTCCAAAGTAGAATTTATGACCCTTTTTGATTATTAAATGACAGAGTAGCTAATGCCAAGGTTTTAAAGAAGACAAAATAAATGATCTATACAGTATTTTTCCAGAGATGTTTGTGACAGAAAACAGAAAATTAAGTAAGGATTTGTTTGGCAGTAATTAAAGTACACAGCTAATTAAAGTACTAAAATCACATGTATCTTTGCTCATAAAAAAGAGAAGGAACCTGCTCTGCCTTTCTCTGTGTATATTTGATTAAACTCTGACACATCACAGATTAACTATTTTAACTAAAGCTTTCCTTATTTCTGCTCCCATTTAATTGTGCAGCAATTGATAATGTCTATAGACTCCTTTACTAGCTTTTTATAAAAAACTGTTTGGTTGGATTATAAATGCTGAAAAAAGGGAAATACCAATCCCTTATGTTTCTGACAGCAAAACTATGATAGACACATTGCAAAATAAGTCAGAAATGGTGCAACTAGACCTTTTCCACCCTAAGGGGAAAGAATAATCTTTCTTTTTTGCCTTCTTCCTTTCAGTCATAATAGTTTACTTCCAGTAGTGGTGCATGCATGGTCACTGCTTTCTCTGATCATCTGAGCTCTTGATATGAGAAGATAACATTGCTATATACTTATCTTAGTTTGTAACTGCGTAAAGAAAAGTGAGCTAATTAATAGACTACCCATATTAATTAAAGCACCATGAAATATTTTTTATTTGATTCCTCTGAGGGTTTTTTATCAAGCCTTTTTAAGTTTATGAAGCTGCAGTATTTGGGCCCCTGCTATTTGAAACATATCTTAACATTTCCTGAGTCTGAAGCATAATCTTCTGAATCTTGCCACAGCCCAGGGGTGAAGGTCCTCAGTCCCCTTTTTAGTGCACAGTTTCCTCCAGCCCTGTTTGTCTCTCCCATCTTCTCTGCAGCTCAAACACATCGTTTCCCAGATCTTCAACAGCTTGTATGTTCTTCTTTATGTAGAATGTTTTATTGCTTTTTAACTACATGCATAAGTCCTTCAAAAAATTCCCAAATCAACCAACTTTTACATTAGATGGTAAAACAAACCCTTAACATACCTGTACCAGGTCTGCGTACTGTTCCCAGCCTTAATGTTCTGTCTCCATTGAGTATTCTACTTCAAAATTTTCAGAAATAACTAAACTCTGCTCTCATTCATATGTCTCACTCTCTGAGCAGTAGGGTTTATCTCCAGTTCATGCTGCTGGCCACCTTAGAGAGGGAATTCAAGTTTAGTGGCTGCAGGAATATAAAAGAAATTCCACAGCTGGGTAATCCTAGCTGTTTTTACCTGCTCTCTCTTCACGTGATCCCCCGATCAGCTTGTCTGGATCATCTATAGCAATACAGCTTCAGGTTTTCTTTTGGGTGGTTAACCTCCTTCTTTGCATCAGTCTTGAAAAATGGGCTTTTGGGACCAATACCACTTGTCCAGTGGGCAACTGTTTGAAAAGATCTTGCTTGCCCTTTCCCAAATGTGTGACTTTTTCCTGGCATGTGCTGCAGATTTTAGCTCAATGTAGAAATGAAAAAGAACAAACGTCATGCTCTGAACTCCCACCCTGTGGTGTCTGACATAGATCTGAGCTATTTTCATGTATGTCATGTATTCTCAGTAAGTGCAACAGGAGGTGTCTTCATATCATTTCTCACTTCTATCAGCTCATGTGTCCACTGAGGAAAAGAAAGAGTAGAAGGGAACAATTAATATATTAGATAAAGCAAATTTATAAGTCTAGACAGTGGTCTCATCACAAATCTTTTTATCACCTTCAGTGGATTCAGGATCAGGACCCTCATTGGAAATCTTATTTTATAAAAATTATTTTTGATTGAAGAATTTTAATAAATGGGAATTTGAACCCCTTTTGCTTTACCAGAAAGAGGTGCTATTTCCTCACCATGAATTGAGTGAATGCATATAAACATGTGATTCGCTCCACTCAGAATTTAAAGGAGGATAGCTGAGGGAAAACCAAGAAATGAGGTAGGCTGAAAGAATGCATTAGTCATATACAGCACTTTCCATGCATTAATAATCAGTAACAAGCAAATATTCATAATTTAAATTGTTTTCCGGGGACTGGACAAGAAGTATGTTTAGGGGTCAATAAAATATGTTCAATACTTGTTGGCTCCTAGACTTGCTTGTAGGACACAGTTCAGTCCCATCTCTGTGAAGGATGGTAACTGATTCTCTGCCATAAATAAAGCTGCTCTACATGGTAAATTCTCGCTCCTGTGCCAAAATTAGTTTTGGTATTTTATACTCAAATTATTGCCATTATTCAGGAAACATGGGAGAATGCCTGAGCACCAAAATGCAAAGCTGTCTTTCAACAACCTTATGCAAAGAATACTGAGCAGACGTTGCGACTGTAGACTTCTAACACTCTGGGTGGGGGGAATTCTCTGGTAATTGCTGAGGTCTTACAGCTGCCCCTTGGAGCCTCAAATTCAGGGGGCTCCCATGGAAAGCACCCAGTAGGTTTCATTATCTGAAGGGCTGGGTCTGCTCGCAGCCCGGTGCTGCATCTGAACTGCTGGGCCATTCTCCTGGGCAGGACCGTTCTCCCACAGCCCTCGGAGCACTTGTGGCCACCAGCTGCTTCTGCCCTTCTGCTGCTGCTCCCCAGCTCAGAGCAGGAGCCCCAAACCATGAACATTTAAACGCATTCTAAACTTTTTTTCTTCTTTGTGAAAAGAATTCTGTCTTGTGACTGCTCTTGGAATCGAAGAAATAGGGAGTTAAAAAAAATAAAGGCAATTAATTGGTAAACAGGAGAAGTCCTCAATCCACCAATCAAATAAAACAGACAAAACATATTGTACTGTGAAATAGCGTTTCAGCTTGAACCAATTTGAGAAGAAATGTGTCAGGGCAGTTCAACAAACTTCAATGAAACATTTCAATTACCAGAATGTCAACACTGTTTGTTTAGCTTGTACTGAAACCTTCCAGAATATCCGTTGTCTTTAAAAAAAAAAAAAAAAAAATCTGCCTGGGGAGGAATCAAGACAAAATGGATTGAAAATTCCAAAATTTGCACTACTAACAAAGGAGGAGATTGATGTCCCTTAACTTTTATTTAGCTGAAGTCAATATGCAGTGTAAGGTAGTTATTTACTTTTTCTTGGCAGGCATCTCCATCTCAAATGAGATGCCTAACTTTTAGATGAGTAAAGCTGGGGGAATGAAACATATCCACTGTGCCTGAAAAAAATCCCAACCTATACTGAAGTCAGACCAGATGAGTAGCACAGG